TATCCTGTCAACTGCCGTCTCGGGGTTGCGATGAGAAGTGAATATCACGATGTCGTCTGCATACTGTAGAAATTGTACATTTCTGGACATACAGGATCCAATCTTGCAGAGGGCGATATTGAAAAGCAAGGGGCTCAGCACTGAGCCCTGCGGGGTACCTTTGTACGATGTCCGTTTCTCGCCCAAATTATCTTGTTCCAAGAACTGCACCGATCTCTCGACGATTAGATTTTCTATAAATTTTCTAATGGTAGCCGGAACTCCAGCATCTTTCATTTTGTCAAGCACAGCTGAGGGCATAATGTTCTCGAAAGCGCCTGTAATGTCCAGAAAGATTGCAACAAAAAATTCGCCATTTGCTATTGCGGTAAGAATCCGATTCGTGAACGTAACCAGGCTATCATTGCATGACCTGTTGGGACGAAAGCCCATTTGCTCATTGGGAAGAATTGATTGTAACTCAATCAATCACACCAATCTCCAGTATATAATTCTTTCGAATAACTTAAGTATGCACGATAAGAGAGAGATAGGCCTCATTCCAGAATTACCGGCTTTGGGTATGAAAATTACTAAAGAAGATCTCCATTCGGTGGGGATGACTCCCTCTTGAAGAAAACTGTTGAAAAGATCGACTAGTATCTCTCTGTATTCAGACGGAAGGTAATCAAGCATATTGTTGCTGATTCTATCCAATCCTGGGGCGGAATTGTTATTGGCTAGAGAGATTGCCATATCAAGATGTTCCGTGGTGATTGGGGTGTCGAGCTCATTCAATATATTTTCCGATTGTTCATCCTCCTTTTTCATATCGCTGAGACTCGTTGTAATGTTATGTAGACATGAAGGGGGGCATAATTTTTGAATTGCCTCACTGGTCAACTGCCTCTCCTTGAAGAGTTCCATGTTTTCGCGTGACATTGATAGATTGCGACGTTTGAATGCTTTAACTAACGACCAGAGTTTGGAAGAAGGAGTTTTTGCATTGAAAGTACCCACAAATTCTCTCCAACTTTTCCTTTTTTCCTTATAGAGTGTTTTGGAGCATTTGGATCTTTCTCTTTTAAATGTAAGGAAGTTTAAAATTGTTGGGTTACTTCGCCACTCTCTAGCAGCCGCTCGACGAGCTTCTATAGCCTCTTGGCACTTGTTCGACCACCATGGAGGGGCGGCTCTGTCACTTCTGATCAAGGTTGAACTCGCTTTAGATTTCTTGGTGGTAGAGGAACAAGAGAGAGCTGTGTCGACTATATGTTTGATTAAACTCGAGTATGCCTCACAAGGATTTTGAGGAAGATTATTAGCAAAGGATGCATATGATTTATCCATACTGCTACTGAAATTGAGAAGTTCGCGAGGATTGAGTTTGATCTTGTAAATATAGCGTCGACGAATAGTTGGATTAATGCCCAAAGTAACGGAGATAGGAAAGTGATCGCTGCCCCAAGTGTCATCTTCGGTGTGCGTATTACATAAAGGAGCGATGCTCGGTGTGGCGATGATCAAATCGATGACTGAAGGTCCTGAGCTGGGAGGAAGGAGAAGTGTAGGTTTATGATCTCCTAGGATACAGCTACGTGAGTCCTCACAAGCCTCGAGAATGCGTTTGCCGACGCGATCCGTGGAATGGCATCCCCAATGTTTATGATGCGCATTCAAGTCGCCCATGATGATGCAATTGCCCTTAATGACGATGTAACTCAACAGATCCTCGAAGAATTGCATGGGAGTGTCGCAATTAGGATGACGGTAAATGTTTATAATAGTATATTTTTCGTTTTTGGCAAAGATCTCTATGCCTTGCATTTCCACCGAGGCTTCATTATAGGCTGACAGATCTAAAATGTTATAAACTAAGTTTTGTCTAACAAGAATGCAGGTACCTCTATGGCCGGGTGTCATGATATCATTGCGTATGACGCTAAAGCCTTTGAGTGAGAACTTAGAGGCCGGATAAAGAAGCGATTCCTGGAGGCAGACGATATCATAGTTTATACTGGCAGCCTGAATTTGAGGAAGTTTACTCCTTATCCCTCTGCAATTCCATTGGAGCAAAGAAATGGCTCCAACGGAGGAGTTATTGTTGTTGGTGAATTTCAGAGTTAGATCCCGAGGTTCCAGTGGCGTCAAAGGACATGTTAAATCCCATAGAGTTAAATAGGTTGATGATAAAATCCAAATTTAGTCCTGATACTAAGTTGGCAATTCTTGATATTGTTTCTTCAAAAGGATTAATTATAGAGGAAATAAATTGGCTGTTATTAAACAGATTCTTGATTTTGTCTAGGAAAGCCAAAATCATTTCGAAAATGCTGCCCACTGATTCGGATCCAGGGTTCGAGCCTGTATCACCGAAGTTGGACGGTGGGGGTTGGTTATGTCCATGAGAGGAGATGCGGCGGCCATATTTGTTATAGGGACGTGAAGGTGCAGAGGACATATTTTTATTGCTCGTTGGTGGATAAACATTAGCAATCGACTCACCAGTTGTGCCCGGACGCGGATGTGGGCTGTGCTGAGAGCTCATCGGTTTATTTCTTGATGGTTTACCTTGCGTGTCACGTGCGTCGTGAGTGGAGTTTGCTGTGACATCTGCGTAATTCATCGGCCTAGATGACGACGGAGAGCTCGAACTTTCCAGAGGCGAGAAAATGTTGTATGAAGTAAAGCCCCCATGATTCTGCTGAAGCTCAGAGGGAGAGAGACGTTGTCGCAGGTAGGGGTAATTACGGTGGTTAACTGCAAGGTTAGAAACGTTACCACTATTATTATACTTAATTATCTTTTTAGCCTCGACATGGGGAATGTTTTTTTGTGCTGTAAGGTTAATCACTTCTTTGTGTCTTATTATCATGGGGCACACAAAAGAGGTAGCCCAGTGATCACCACCACAATTAATGCATTTTTTGGCTTGCTGCTTATTCTCGCATTCAACTAGCTTGTCGTGATCTCCTCCGCAATAAAGGCATCTAGGCTTGGAGCTTTTACAATCGTTGCCAATATGACCCACCCTGTAGCAAACGTAACAAATGCGAGCCTTAGGTATATATGGGTCGACTGAATATAAGGCATTAAACAAGGAAACCTCATTAGGCAAATATTGGCCCGCAAATTTGACGCAGATGGTTCTTGAAGGCAAGTAGTTGGTTTGGCCTTCCGTCGTAACACGGCGATTAAGGCGTTGGATGTCTAGAATCTTAGCCGAGGATTTAATATTATTCTTAATACATTCGATAGAGAGAGACTGATCCACGTCTCTTACGATGCCGGTTCTGAGTACCTTGAATGCAGGAATGAAAACCCGTATATTATACTTAGCGAAGGCACTGTTTGAAACCAGTCGGTTCGCCGCAAGCGCTGACCTGACCTCAACTATAGCTTTGCCACTACCTAGGCGATTGATGCTCAAAATGTCTGAAGATGCAATTTCTGAAACTATTTTTGCAAGCACTGAGAAATGAATAACCGATGACTTATCTGAATAAACATAGACAGCAAAAGGGCCTGAGTCCGTCTCAGAGTACAAATGACATGCTTTATGAGGGGTAACTTGTTTAGTCTGTGATGAATTTGAATTTGTTGAATTTGCAGCAGGATGCTCAGACGAAGAAACGGGGGGAGGCTGAATGGTATGATTGTTTGAAAGATTTTCTACAACTTTTACCTTTGGATTAGGGTTAGAGTTACTCTCCTTCTTTCGGGTTCGTTTCCTCGAGACTTGAGTAAAATCCACGTCCATGCCTTCATCCGAATGTATAGAATCGTCTGGAAGAGCCGTAGTGCCAGCCGAGGATGTCAAGGGAAGCTCATTGAGCAAGCTATTAACAGCCGCATTCACCGAGACATTATCTAGATTGTAATCTGAATCGATAGAATAAGCAGAGCCAGATGTAGAAAGGGGGGAGAAAGGGGGAGCCAAAGGAGAGGGAGGGATCGACAGAGGTAGAGGAAATGACGGCACCGACGTCGTCGTCGACGAGAGCGGTCCGCCCGCACTGTCCATAATGGACAAGGCGGGATTCCTGTCCCCCCCATGAACCGGCGGCGGTACGCCGGCCATGGGCGCGCGAAAAACCTCGCGCGCGGTAAAGTACAAGCCCACTTAATGGACACACACGCGCGACTACGCTTCACAAATACCACACGCGCTACCGCCGGAGCGGCAGGCGACAACACGGACCGAAAAAGGGCCACACGAAACGCTAAAAACCGTTATAAACGGCAGATGTAACGGACGCACACGAACGAGCAACCTAACGCTACAATGGCGCGACGCGCAATCGCGTCATATGTGATACACCATGCAACACTGGTATGCTGGTTAGATATAGATAGATAGAGTGAGATGATAGATAGAGTGAGATAACACATAAAGTCAAAGGCCCTCTATTATCGAAAAAACGAGACGTACATTTTTCTGGTCGTCGACGTTGACGACGACGTATCTTAAAAATAAAACGTGAAAATTCACAGATTCGGACTTTGCGTCGCGATATCTCCGCTCGTAGGGCACGTAGAAAAAAAAATGAAAGCACTTTTATCATATAATTTAAGTATTTCCTGTCGATTGAGCGTATGTAGAACTTGATCGGTTCAGCCGTTACTGAGATCTGATCATCTCGACCCCGAAAATTTCTCCGTTTCACGTAAAGGAGACACGGCAGTGTCGTGCGCTTGGCTTAGCGCCGAGACACTACCGTGTCTCCAGGTACAGCTTCCTTGCGACTCCACGCTTCGGAACTGGAGTTCTAATTTTTCAGTAAAACCAGGAATTTTAGATAATGTACTGGAAATTATGAAGAAAAAAGTAGAGACATTGTGTGTTACTGATAAATTGACTGCGTTAAGTTTTGATGAAATATGTATTTCAAATCAGATTGATTTGGAACGTCGGGAGTAGAAAGTGTACGGACCACATAAATTGTGCCAATTTGTAATGGCTCGAGGACTTTTTGGTAGTTGAAAACAACCAGTGTTTTATGACTTTTCTCAGCCAATGACAAAAACCATTTTACTTGAAATTATACAGGCTCTGTACAAAATATGGTTACATTGTTGTGTCTATAACCAGCGATATGGGTTCAACGAATATGGCTTTATGGAAAAGTCTTAACATTGGAATTGAAACATTTACGGATTCGACAAATATCAAAACACCGACGACAATGGCGAAACAAAATTTTTTCTTACATCCGGTGGACGAGACCTTAAAATGTTTTGTGTTCACAGATGTTCCTCATCTAATAAAATTGCTAAGGAATAATTTGTTCGATTCCGGATTCAGAGTGGATAATTTAATTTTGAATAAATCAATTTTAGAAGAACTAGTGGCGGTAATTATGCACTATAGGGGAGCCAGCTCCGATGACCTTGACCTTGACATATGTTGTCAAGGTCATGATTCTGAGTAACTTTGCCTTAACAACTAGGTGGCGGACTCTTATAGTTTTTGAGATATTAAGCGTTATTTTTAACAGTAGTGAAACCTACTGGGTAAATGTTTCGCTTTACACAGTCAACCTCAAATGACTTCCGAGTGACCTTGACCTTGACCTTGACCCTCAAGAAGGTCAAGGTCATTGACCATTCCCGTCGCTCGTCCTTCGTTAAAAAAT